TTTTTAGAATATTTGAAGGGACAAATATTTGTTTTGCGTCAGCCAGCTTTCGAATCGAACTGACGACAGCAAAGTAATTAAAAAAATTAACACGCATGAATTGCCGCTCCTAATTAAAGCGCACCGCGGAGGTCTTTGAGTTAAACTTCTATAAATAATTAAGATTCTACTTCTGATAGGGATTCATACTGGCTTCTGACTTTTCTGTAAGCTGTGCTGGTCTGAGCGCTGCGTCGCCAGTTGCCTGCTGCGTGTCTGTTCTATTATAATCGAAAAAGTTGGGAGCACACGCGCTCACCTCTCAGTAACTTTTTGTTGTCTTTTTTCCCCCCTTTTTTCCTTTTTTACGTTTACTGTTGCTTTTACTTCTCTTTTTTGTAGTCGCGCAAGCCACTGTTCCCATACAAACAAAGAATTCACAAAATAACTTGGAATGCTCACAGGGAGCACACGGATGCACGCGCGCACCTCGCAGTGAAGCGTGAAGGGCGCGCGAAGATCCCGCGCGAACGCTGGCTACAGATCGCAGGTGCGTTGTGTGTGGGTAGGTGTGCGTGCGTGCGGGCGTGCGTGTGTTTGAAATAAATAAATGAATTAATACATAAATGTAGATGTTATATATATATATGTATATATATATATATGCATACGATGTGTACTGTTATATCACAGCGTACTCGGTTCAAGTCGCTACTTTCGCGCTCTTACTCCCCAATCTATGTTTTGTTAACTACGACTTACATACAGAAAGGTGGGGCAGCAGACGGTATGTAGGAGACAGTCAGAAATATATTTTTTTCCCATATATGTGCTTATTTATTTGTTAAGCGCGCGTGCGTGCGTGGGCAAGGCAGCGGAAAGTGACGATACATCGGTTCACATCCCCCCCCTCCACCCCTTTAAACATGACGCTAACCCTTTCTTGAACACCCCCCTCCCCCCCCCCTTGAATCATGACGCTAACCCTCTCCCCATCTCTCCATCCGTGAAACACAGCACTCGTGCGTGCGTGGGCTAGGCAGCGGAGAGCGGATTACAAATCGGTCCAAGTCGCTACTCTCGCGCCATTAATTCTCCGACCGAATGGTGGGCAGACGCGCGAGCTTAACTCGGATAAAAGTGGTCAGAGGTAATTGCACACCCCCCCCACCAACCCCCCTCCCCCCACACACACACGCACACACTCTGCTCCCACCACCACCCTTCCCCACCACTAGTGAGATAATTGCTACCCCCCCCCCCTGTCTGCTGCCCACTGTCGGCTGCCGACAATGACAGCGCCAACGCTCATCCTCCTCCCCCCCCCTACTACTACTACTACTACTCACAGCTCGCCTGATTTTTTGTCGGCTTCCAAGGAGAATGAATCAGACTGTGGCCTCACGATAAACTATCATTGTCTACAGTTAGTTACAGCTATCTCTCCTATCCACCTAGAATGTATCTGACGAATGATAATTGTAATTGTAAATATATTTTAAACAACTCAGCTCTTCTCGCATCGCCGCGGATGTGGAACATGGATCAGACACTATCATTATCTGCAGTTAGTTTGTTCCAGTTAGCTCGCCTATCCTGAATCTGACGAGTGATAATTGCATTTATAATTGTAATTTTAACGACTCAACTCTTCTCTCAACGCCACGGATGTGGAGCATGGATCAGACACTATCACTATCTGACGTTTGTTACAGAAGCTCGCCTACTCTACTAGAATGAATCTGACGAGTGATAATTGTATTTTTAATTGTAATTGTAATAGTAATTGTAATTGTAATTTTTTGTTTTGTTTTTTTGCGTATTTATAACTTTAATCTTAACGACTCAGCTCTCCTCTCCTCGCCGCGGATGTGGAGCATGGATCAGACGGCGACCGCACGATTAACGACGCAAAATTAGGTACCTATAACCAATTTACTGCCTTGCACACTGGATTCGCCTGACTGATGCTGCCTCTCTTCCTATTAAGTAAGTCGTAGTTTTACAAATCAATTGATTTGGCACTTTCCGAGATTCGGCCGAGTCCGGATTTGAATTAGTCTGCTGACACGAGTTGTCACGAGTTGTTGCACAATCGTCCTCGCCCCACACTGATATTATGTC